AAGAACCACGAGCTTTGCAAGCCACTACCAATGGAGGTGGCATGTAAGCTGGCTAGTTGTAAGTAGTATGGACGTATATCGGTAGTTTGTACGTTACTAACAAAGCTGAACTGGGTGTGAGCTACTTTTGATGGTCCGCTGCAGAACTGCTTACGGATAATAAACTGTAGACCTCAATCAGCCTTAATTATCTAGACATTATGCAACTCAGCCTTAAGCCATTTGCCTAGCAAGCTTGAATTTACCGACCATTATCGTAGTAGGGCATGATATTTCGACCAGTCCTCGGGAGCTTTAACATTAGCATATTGTGTCCTGTACACCTTTTGAGTTGATCTCTCCAGTGTTTGCCAAGTTAACCACATTTGCATCCTTTATACCAACTTTTAATGCAGTTGGTTGTCTCATCTGCAAAATATGGGTCCTTCAACTGCACCAATTTGCTAAGACTTTATCTTATTGGAAATCGCCCTTATTTCTTCCAGTTTTCCTAGGACTTTTTTTCGTTTTAGTTAACAATTTTCGTGTCTATCAACCACTAGGCACACCCTGCATTTCTGTAAATATTTGACGTTTCAGTTATCTGTTGGGTATCGTCATCGAGGAAATGGTACCTTGCATCCTTCCTAACGGCCTTACTATCTTCTTTCCATGTGCAAACTGAGGAAGCTTTGGTTAAATCAACTAACCTGCAATAACCACGTAAATGGTTTGGGTGAGCTAATCAGTTTTAGAGTAAACCAAATACCTCCGCTGCAGTCAGAAACATTGCTGTTTTTAAATGTCTCAATTCATTTGAACTATGCAGTCAAAGAATGATAATGTACCACTAAAACATCCGATACCACAGTAAAGTTTATTGTTCGTAAGTCGCAAAACATTGCTTGTAATAATAGAGTGAATGGGTAGATTAGGATTATAGCTAATGAGTGAAACCTACACCCAGGGAGAAGCGTTGCTTACGGGTCTATGTTGTGTCAATTGACCGGTTTCTTATCATTAGATTTTTCCCCTAAGGAACTGCTAAAATTTTATTCATGTCTATCAATGACATCACAAGTTTATTTTCAGCAAACCTACGTGGTTTTGGCACTACGTAACGCTCTAGTTTTGTTTGCTTAATTAATTCTTTTATTGACTTTATTGGCAGTGATACGCCGAATTTTTTAGAACAGTTAATGCAGCCCCTTAAACTGGTGCTAGGATTTTCCACAAACTGATAAATTTCGACCATTTTTTGGTAACCCTGCACGTATATTTTTAAAAACTAATTCGGCTGACGTCATTGTTGCAATCTAAACACTGAGAATATCTTGCACTTATTAAACTGTAAGTCTAAAAATGTAGCTAGCATGTTGTTTTAAATACCAAGAATTTTTACATGATGAACCCTGTTACTTTTAAATCATTTTCTTGGTTGGCATATAGCAAAAGCAGTATAGAATTTTTGTTCCTAGAGGCAATGCCAATCTTTTTAGCATTCCTTATGTAATAATATACAAAAGTAAGATGATCGAAATTCCACTTCGACCTTGTCTGCAAAACAATATATATGCAGGGTTTCCTAACGGGCTAGTTTTGAAGTAACTGTTTATATTTGTTCACTTAACACTACCTGTTTCCTATCAAACGTATAAAGAATGTGCATCTGGCTTTCCCAAACAACATCTCTGGCTGTAAGATAAACAAATCCTCGGTTGCTAACAGTTAATTTTACTGCTGTAACAAACATCGTCCGTCCACACATGCTTAGATATGAACTTACCAAATTTGTTAATATTTTGTCTAACCAATCATATAAGAGTCAGGTCCTCACTACGTTCTCTAATTTTAAGTTCAGTATTGGACAATAAGAAAGCGGAACTTAAAAATGTGTTTCCTTATGTATAATTCTTTAACAAATAAAAGCTCGAGCTGTCTAAATGTTTCCTTTGATACCGTTACCGGATTCACATGTGCTTCACTAATAATGACTAGTTTCCGAATGAAAACACCAAATAAATTATTACATGCTGAATATATTTATCTTCAGCTAATGGATCTGGCTTGGATCTAGTAAATAATTTGGTTTTTACTTTGCATGAATGCCAAGTTGTACAATCTAACATTAGTGCCTGGAGAAGATAAGTCAACACGGTGTTCAACTTTCAGAAGTTTACAATTGATTTGTTTGAAATGTCCTTTATGTACACTAGAGAAATCACTACTGCGCGATACACTGGAAGAGTACAAATTTGGGAAATTTGGGCTTAAAGCTGAGCATTGCTTATCAAATTATACAGGACGATGGTGATATCCAATGCGTCATTGGTACATGGGTCTGGCAGCATTCATCTATCCTAGGATATGCGATCCGCCAGTTTTAACTGTCATGAAAGAGTGCCGGATTCCCGATACCGGTCTCAGATTTTATTCCAACCGCAAAATTAACTGGTGTGTACTACAAAATATGTTTCATCGCGAACAGAATTTTCATGTTAATATGTATTTGCACAACTAAATACAAAAAACGTGGATATGCGCTCAGGCGTAGTAGTATTCCAAACGGGAGCAGTAGACAGATTAGGTGCAGCTGACTTGGCAAGCAACATATGAACTTTAATGCATGCTGAACATTGTTCATCGATTTCAATTCACAGAGTCATATATCAAAGGCCAAACAATGCTCACAAGTCATAAGGGTCGATATACTCTGGTTGTAAGCATGGAATTCAGTCGATTACCCTTGACAGCGATGATTACCCATGACTAAAATGTGGTTTAACGCAGCGCCAGAGCATTGAACGATTGCAGGCTAAATATGGTGATGCTGCGCCTTAAATCACCACAGTTTTTGACTGATTTGCGGAATTCAAGCATGGCAAGCGGTCTCTGAATGGCGGGACAAAATGTGGTCGACCTGTGGAGGCCACGACAGCGGACAACATTGCTGCTATGCAAAAGATGCTGAAGAATGCGCAGGTAACTGTAGTACTGCTTGAATAATTCCTAGGAATCTCAAGGGGATCAATTCGCAACATCCTACATAAGAACCGGTATCATTATGTTATACGCACGCTGAGTTCCCCATCAGTACAGTACGACCCAGAAAGTAGTTCGGATGAACTGGTGGCGCACAGCGTTCGCCAAGTTTGATTTTGGGAAATCTAGTGCTGTTTGGGTGATAGGCTATGGTGATGAGACTTGGATGTGCCGTTTTAACCTAAAGACCCAGAAACAATCGGCTCAGTGAACGGCCGTTGGAAGGGTGCTGCCTTGGATATCCTGGCACAAACGTATTGTGGACAATTAGATGTTGGCAGTGTTCGGGGCCAACATCGGTTATGTGGGTATTATAACCCACGTATGGAAACGCACAGCCATTAGAGACTGGTATGCCGCCTAAGGTTTGACACAAGTGCTGGGAGTTACAGCCAAGCGTCGTCAAGCACTACAACAGGAGGGAACTTGCTGAATCATGAAAACGCACCTGCATACAAGCCCCAGGTCGTCGCATGTTTTCTGGCTAGAGAGCGCATCCAGAGGGTTGCTCACCCACCCTACAGTTCAGATCTTCCTCCATGTGATTCACTTGTTCTCTTAAATGCCAGGCGCGTGATGCGTGGAACCCGTCACGAGTCCCCAGAAGCAGCAGAGAGGCCTTTATTGAGTGGTTGAAGTGTTACCAACTTCGGCATGGCCTAGCTAGTTTCCAAGTGGTTTGAGCACATTAAACTGTGAATGAGCACCAATAGAGCCTACTTCAAAAAATGCAGTGGTTTTGTGGTAAAAATAAAATGTATTCCGCATCGGGAAACTTATTGCTCTACCCTCCTACAGTTAATTTGTTGGAAAGGTAGTAAGAATGAGATCGTCCATCCCTGTGCTCCAGGTTGAAGTTCCACTTAGAGATTTTCTATTTGGGATGAACTTAAATTCACATTAAACTGACCAAGGAATGTATTGTTTTAAGGCCAGTGAAGCCAAATTTATTTTAGGCATTATATTTTATCACCGGTTTGAAATTCTACCAACACGCTATGTGTACCCTAAGCGAATTTTGGCAGCTTAAATTAGAGGCCAAGTCAGTTTTTGTGAGCCACAGCAGGAACGTAGACTTCTTGATCCTGAGATCCCTATTACTGCTGTGCATGGCATTTAATTACAAAAGCTGAGATACTATAGCATACTCACATGCAAACCAAATTATGAGTGGTTTTGAGTACTTCCTGACGCTGAACTGTAGGCTTTACCATTGCAAGTTTAAAAGTGCGTATTTTCCCATGCATCCATCTCCCAATTGACTGCATCCTTAATGCAATGCCTTTCGTCCATGGTGCCGCAGTTTGCATCCTTAGAACATAACCTATAATCCATTGGTCACAAAATTTGCATCCACACCGCCTACAGTGAGTCAGCTATCCGCTGGCCTCAAACGGAAATCTCGTTTCCTCAATCCAACCACCTGCTTGTCTAAGTGCGTACCAGCATAGGATATTAAGGAATAGAAGCAGGTGCTTGCCCACGAACTGGCTCCATACCCAAACGTCTGGGATTTGATGTTCCGGACAAACACGGACGCAGCAGTGAACTTGTCCGAAACACTGGAGCGCGCCCCCTGCCTACATCTAGCGCATTGTGAATGCAGTCTTAACGGTTTTACAAAGAGGGCTTGGGTGAAAAAGGAGATGTCTGTTTGAGGCCAGGGGACAGCTGACTCACTGAGGGCGTTCTGTATACAACTTTGTGACTATCGGATTTTAGATTTTGTGCTTAGGATACAAGCTGCTGCAATATGAATGAAAACCATGGAGTTAAGAAGGCAAACAATTGTGAAATGGTGTAGTCTGAGGGTACTATATTTAGTATTTTGACTTATGTGTGATACTAATCTTGGTGATCTTTAAAGCAGGCACAATCTATTTTGTTGTTCACTGGACGTTTCTTGGCTATCGGTTATCTGTTGAGGATTTAGATAATTAGGCAATAAACCTTTTCAAATATAGCGAATTTTGACTCACAGATTACTTCAGTGATGAGGTAAACTGATTTGCTGTACTCTGTTTGGCTGGAAGAAGTTTTATTCGTGTGCGCTGCAGTCAAGTTTCTGTTTTCTTTAGGCGACCAAATTAGCTGACAACTGACTCTGGCTCCATTGTACCACGGCCGACTAACAAGTGTGGCTTCAGAAAATGCTATCAATCCGTAATTGATTGGGTCAACTTTCGACTGCGATTCCATCAATTTTGAATCAAAATCAGCTATTTCACCAGGATTAAATGTATGATCTTCATTGGTTCCTGAGAGAAGACTGTCTAATGTGCGTCGATTAATTGGAACGGAGATATTGCTGACTGGGATACTGGTGATATAATCCACAGAGGTTAACAATTTCCAGTGTACCGATGCCACTGGGTTACTTCCGCGAGATGAGCGACAAGTAAAGATTCGTGTCCTATTCTCACTGAGAGCATTTAAAGGCATTGCCGTCAAAATAGGTGGGCCGGGTGGAACTAAAACAAGAGATGAACCACAGTGAGTAAGATATAAAAATAGACTGCGTCATTCTTTAATTCTCAAAAGCGAATACCTTAAGTAATATTACAGAAAAACCTGGAAATGCTAACAAGTAAAAGAAAAGGCATTAGCATGTGTTTTCAGCAAAGTGAAATGCTAAATTTTTTTATCCTAGCGCAGTTGACCAGTTTCGGTTTTCCAAAGTTCATAACAATTATTTCAGTTCCAATGAAAAATAAGGAAGTGCGCTTTTTATTCGGCGTTCTTGTTATAAGCTTCATTTAATAAAAAACTAGCAGATGGGCCATACTTGTTGTTTTATTGTCAACCTGTTCTCAAAATTGAGGCGAATATCAAGGATCAATGGACATTTATGCACAGTAGGCTCTGTGTTAGTGGACGGCTGTGGAGCAGGTGTGATTAGTAGTGTCCCACTTCTTTCACTTAACTTGTCTATGCTATGACTTTGAACAACGGGTTATAGATGTAGCACGTGCCTACGCAAATTGTAGAGCATAAGTCAATCATTGAACGCAACGTATCTCACGAAATTATTATTGCAATATTTTCGTTTTTGCCTCAATGTATACCAATAAGTTAGTAAATACTTGTGGATGTCCATGGAAGATGGCTCATCACATAGTCGAATAATACTCCTGATACCTTGTAAACAGCTTTCCCCATTTAATAAAAACAGTTATTCCGTCACCTAAGTGAATGCAGCCTCAGCTGTCAGACATACTGGGCAAATGGTTTTTCAGTCTGCCATAATCGAGCTTAGCATACCAGAACGTAGGATCTAGGGATTCCGGAAAACAAAATCCCTCTATGTTCGAAGAGGGGGAACATTTTTTTACCCAAGCTGTAGCTTATTTGGGTTCATATGTGTTACCTTTGACAAGTATAGAAAAACTTATGGCACTAAGACCGAAACCCACCGGTATAGCCATATTATTTACGTAACGTTTTAACTCCTTATATGAAAACATGTGGAAGTCGTGAACTGAAGCTGCTACCAGCAAATATGCTGAAGGAGCCAGAGGAACATCTTGTAACGCTTACACCAGAGTTCGACTACGGTGAGAATTTCATGCATACCATTCGAGGTATAGCTTACCCACCTTGATGGTCCTTGATGGTAATTTTTCATCCACATCTCATAATTTCTCATTACCAGGCCTTAAAGCAAGTTTGGAAAAAATGGCTTTATTAACCTAAGACCTACTGTATATATGTTTATCGGAACCTAATCCCTAATGACTGAGAGATGAGCGTAAGAAGTATAGGAGAAGCAAGACGTGACAAAAGTGATGTGTCATAGAATTCGTTGGTCATCTTTTCTCCGTATTTAACAGGAAGATTAAATTATCTCGACCTAGCCTAGTGTTAGCAGAAGACTAAACGGCAGATTCCAAAATCAAAAAATGCTTTGAAGTAGTTTGTCTTTTGCCTTTGCATTGCGATACATTAATATTAGTGACAGAATTCCAGAGGCGTGATTTGGCTAGCCTATATATTGTGTTGCTGAAACTAAAGATTAACTTTTAAGTGACCATTAAGAAGCAAAAATGAACTCATTGAACCTTCAACCACGCGTTTTAGCTGATATCTCATAGAGATAGGAACACATGTAAGGGGAAAACAGCAGTACATCCAAGACATTTATTAACACATTTAAAAAAATTAATGGGTTCCGTATTTTCTGCGGCGAGTTGCGTCGCACAGCTAAACGCGTGTCGCTTAATCGGTGATTGTAAACACCCATAGAAGGTATTATATTAATCATGTCCGGAGCTGGGAGCGGCTACTTTTCGGCGCTGACGTGCAACGCTACGCTGAATTGATAACTGTCTAGGGGCGCAAACTGTGTTACCGGCAGGGGTGAGATGGGCACAGGGGCGTGACATTTGTGTCTAGGATCACAAGGCTCACTGAACCCTTCAGCTGTGAGTAATGAACGTTAGCAAACACAGTAACCGCAATCGACCTGTCATGCGTGGATAATAGGTCGAGACCTAGGGAACACAAGCCGTTCGACTGTGAGAACTGAACGTTAGCCAGACACCACAGCCGTACTGTACGTGTCACGCATCGATCCATCGGTAGTAGGCCTTCACGCAGGCGAATACGCCAGCAAATGGGTTCCGAGCGAGGTGGTTATTGGGTCGCAGTGCCAGCAATTAGCAATGTAGACCGATGTATGTGATGACGGGTCGATGGGTGCTGCATTGTTATCACCTCATGACTAGCTTCCAACAGATTTAATTAGGCTGCTTTCGCTGCTAAAAGGAATCAAAACGCCGGTGGCACATTGTTAGGATACAGTGTTGTTCGCTTTACCGCTTCGATCGTGTGTGTGTTACAGCTGAAGATGTACTCTGCATGGGTACATAAAAACCAATTCTTCCCTTGAATTGACGTGACCATTCCGCGAGCATCCAAAATGCTTACCTGAACAAACAAATAACGGAGGCAAACCAACTCTCCGTCACTCTGTAATTAAGGGTTTTGCCTGGTCGATAGCCATGACCTCAATATGCACTCTTAAGCGAAACATCTTTCCTTTGGTAAACAAAAAAGCATGTACTCTTCAGTGATTCAAATGACAAGTGATCATATTCGCAACTTGGTTGGATCAACACTACATATTTATAGTTACTCATATTGAACTATAGCAAGATGAGTGTTAAGTGATAAAATAATTTTTTCAGTCCTCATTCTCACTTATTCTTACTGTACCGTAGTCATTCTATGAGTATCAGATGGGTAATCTCTTCCTTTTACTTGATGAGCTTATCAATGAGTTTCGCAGATCGTCCAAAGTGTATTGTAAGGTTATGGATTACGGACCGTTTATTCGGGTACCTGTTCGTGCTAATCAAGTCCTAGCTTATCAGTTCGGTCCACTCGCACTTCGGTGGTTCTATGGACACGTCTTCTCATTATAGACGGTGTAGTGCTTGTCTGTCAGATTATCCTATCTTGTGTCATGGAGAGTTTGGAACTTTATTGCACCTAAATTAGCCTTGACTCTGCACTCAGTGCATTCTCCCTCATATTACACGGCTAATGAAGCTGAAGCTCTGAAGACTCATAAAGATCCAAGCTGGTGTATGAACTCTAGCCAACTCATTTTAACATTGATTACAATGGCTAAATGTATAGGGTTCTCGTTACTCACAAATAGCTTGCACCGTAATACTGTAGTCCAATATGCGAATCTTTATACATCCTTGGATATTAATCGTCGGATTTTAGTTAACGGCTGCAGTGGTATCGCCCCTTTTCACGTTTCTTCTCCTTTCATGAATCTGCCGTTAGTATAGGCTACCCGATCACCATCGAAACCAAACAAAGAATACCCGTGAACTGGCAGAAAACTAGAGTAAATGCATCAAATTAATATATTGAAAAGGACGTCCCTTTGCATCTCTGCATATTGAGCAACTACTGAGAGCCCTACAAGTGCGAGCACGCTATTCAAATAAATACGATTCGTACTTTTGTAGACAATGTATCTCTGTATCACAGAAATATGCATGGTCGTTGTTAAATAATCTCAACTATGTCGCTCAATAATACCCAACGTACACATCAATGGTGGCATCGCTGCCAGCGGTGGGTAGAAATTTATTCACTCCATGCGAGTTGTTAAACAGGCACAAGACAAAGTGAAACCACGGACTCGGTAAGCTAACCGAACCGGTTAAAAAGACGGCACCTACGAATTCAGCCGAATGTGCGTCCACAGCACTATTTCCAACTCAAACGGAAGTCATGCATCGTATGCTTCAAACAGAGACCACGTTTATTCCTTGTCTTCCTCAACGTTCTTGTTAATGTAATCCAGTCCAACTTCCCATGGTCTCAAGATCTTTGTTGATAACAAGAATGTGAACAGTCCCACGACAATGTGAGAAATCTCGACAGTCTGTATACATAGTATTCCGATAACAGGCTCTAGCGTTGTGAAATGCAAAGTTTTACATATCGTATCCATGGATATCGTCTTGGAGAACAGCAGTAGGGAGATGCTTCCTAGAAGGACGTTCCCGGAGTAATTACTAAAGCTGAACTTCGCAGATGCAAACGTGTTGGAAAACCACTGGTGTTCCGACAAAAGCGTTCAATAAATTCGAGCGCTGCGTGTCTAAATGTGGCCTAGTGTGACACATGCTAGCGAAACCTGCAATTACTGGAACATGCATGTGTTCATGCGGTTGATGCTCTGCAATGTACAGCGAATGAAGTGCTTATTAACTAGTTTCACCCAACCTACCAACCGAGACTCTAAGCATTTGACTTGAACAGCGAATAATCACGCTGTCTATGAAGAAATCTCATGAAGCGCCAATACTGACTAACCTTAAACACGCCTATCGCAATCTTTGCAAACCATCCACAGCCTGAGAGATCACCAGCTCAAACTTGTCAAGCAGTCAAACTGATTGCCGACAAATGTTTTCCAGAAGATCAGTTCAAAATACCTTACATATATTTCTAACTCAACACTTTCAGATTATGTCTTGGCGACATACGTACTCAAGCTTGTTTCAATCAGGAGACAAATTAAACCAAACTAAAAAGTGTAATCGCCAACCAACTCCGTACCGAAGCGGTGGTAAACTTACGTCTGTATTAAAGTTCATCACTTTGTGAGTCCTCCGAAACCAAATTTTCCACCTTTATTCTGTCACTTATACGTCGGGCTTTGTAGGCTTTACTCCGTTCACATTATGCGACTTGTCATGCACTTGCTTTTTTAGTTGCAGCTAATCCTACTTACAGTTCATGGTAATCGATCAAATGCAGCTTGAACAATAAAATAAGCCTAACTGCATACCGAGTACCTTAGTGATGGAAGTTGATTCCTATGTTAATCCAAACTTTGTGATCCTTACTTCGTTGTCAGATCCATGTTAGGTCATCAAACTTGAAGAATCCCAGCTTTTAACTGCTTGGGTCAC